TGAAAATGAATCCTTTGAAGTGTGCATTTGGTGTATCGGCTGGGAAGTTTCTGGGTTTCATTATTCATGAAGATGGCGTGGAAATTAATCCCAAAAAGATAGAAGCTATACAGAAAGTAGAGGCTCCAACATGTAAGAGAGATATGCAAAAATTCCTTGGCAAAGTCAATTATTTGAGGAGGTTCATAGCCAATCTATTAGGGAAGGTTGATGCATTTACTCCTATCCTTCGATTAAAGAATGATGTTGATTTTACTTGGGGGGCAAAACAGCAAGAGGCATTTGATATGATTAAGAAATATTTGTGCACTCCTCCAGTTATGAAAGCGCCCAGGCACAGGGAGCCATTTAGACTTTACATTGCAGCGGAGGAAGCTGTTATTGGTGCTGTTTTGACTCAAGAGACCGAAGGAAAGGAGTATGCTATTACTTATTTGAGCCGACGCTTGTTGGACGCCGAGACAAGGTATACATTTATTGAGAAATTATGCTTATGCTTATATTATGCTTGCACAAAATTGAGACATTATCTAGTGCCTAGTACTTGCATTATAGCTTGTCAAACTGATGTCATGAAATACATGTTGCATAGGCCAATTCTTAGTGGTAGGATTGGCAAGTGGGCTTATGCTTTAATTGAGTATGATTTGGCTTATGAATCTCTGAAATCCATGAAAGGCCAAATTGTTTCTAATTTATTGTTGATCATCGAATTGATGACAAGCGTGATATTGATATAAACCTTGTCTCATTAGTACCATGGAGATTATATTTTGATGGTTCAGTTGGTAGCAATGGCCAAGGTGTTGGTATTGTTTATATATCTCCTCATGGTGCTGTTTTTGAAGCCTCATGCCGCTTAGAATACTTTTGTACAAATAATCAAGCCGAATATGAAGCATTGTTATTCGCCTTAGAGATGTTGCTTGCCATAGGTGCTACACGTATTGAGGCTTTTGGTGATTCGTTATTAGTAGTGCAACAAATATCCAAAGTCTTTCAATGTTTTGACGAACCACTTAACGTTTATCTTGATAAATGTCTAGATATAATTTCTAATTTGGATTATTTTAGCATTGCTCATATATCTAGACATGACAATTGGAGAGCAAATGAGTTGGCACAACAAGCATCCGACTATCATGTTGATCGCGGCATGTTTCATATTTCTCAAAGGCCGATGTCTAGTCTTGCCAACATAGGGGAGGCCGAACCGGAGCCCACCGTTTCGGCCACTAATGAAATATTTAATGCAGGAGAAAATCAAGACTGGAGAAAGCCCATTATTGATTATTTGGGTGATCCTAGTAAAAGGGTGGACAGGACTGTTCGGCGTATGGCTTTGAAATACACGATGAGAGACGATGGTCTCTATCGCCGGACGGTTGATGATGTTCTTTTAAAGTGCTTGGATGAGGATCAAGCGAGAGTTGCTATGGGAGAGGCCCATGAAGGTATTTGTGGCACTCATCAGTCGCCTCCCAAGATGAAATGGTTATTGCGACGGGCTGGGTTTTATTGGCCGACGATGATTAATGATTGCTTCAGGTATTATAAAGGATGTGAAGCTTGTCAAAAGTTTGGTGATATTCAGTTGGCTCCTGCTGCTATGTTACATCCTATTATCAAGCCATGACCTTTTAGAGGTTGGGGATTAGACTTTGTTGGACAGATTCATCCTTCTTCTTCAAAGGGGCATCGGTTCGTGTTGGTGGCGACTGATTACTTCACTAAATGGTCTGAAGTAATACCACTCAAGAATATGACGCATATGGAGGTAATTCAATTCATAACTGAGCACATTATTCATAGATTCAGCATTCCTCAAACGTTAACTATGGACCAAGGTTCATCTTTTATGTCACATCAAGTTAGAGAATTTGCCGAATTATATAAGATAAAGTTGCTCAATTCCTCTCCGTATTATGCCCAAGCCAATGGACAAGCTGAGTCTAGCAATAAAATTTTAATCAAGCTCATCAAGAAGAAGATTGAGGATAATCCAAGGAGATGGCATGAGCTATTGTCCGAAGCTTTGTGGGTACACAGAATCTCAAGGCATGGTGCTACAAAGGTAACTCCATATGAGCTCGTATATGGTCAAGAGGCCGTTTTACCAGTGGAAGTGAATTTGAATGCTTTGAGAATAGCCAAACAAAATAATTTATCTGCGGTGGACTTTTATAACTTGATGATGGACAATATTGATGAAGTCGCCGATAAACGTTTGGCTGCTTGGAAGGCCATAGATAGAGATAAGTTGAGGGTGGCAAGAGCTTACAATAAGAAGGTCAAATTGAAGAATTTCCAAGTTGGTGATCTCGTGTGGAAGGTGATTCTACCAATTGGTTCAAAAGATAGAAAATTCCGGAAATGGTCTTCAAGTTGGGAAGGTCCTTTTAAGATTACGAGAATAGTTCCCGGAAATTCATATTTGGTGGAATCCGTACAAGGAACATTGTTACCTCGAGCTCTCAATGGCAAATATTTAAAGAAGTACCACCCAAGTGTGTGGCAAGAAGCTTAGACAGCCAACGGCCGATATATAACTATCGCCCTAAGCAAAGACATGGCCGATATATAACTATCGCCCTGAGCACATATAAATGGTTGATGGAGTATTGACATCGTCCTTAGAACCAACACGGTACAAGTTAATTTTTGGCACACTATCTTTGCCGAAAAACAGGGGGGCATGTGTTGACGCTCAAAAATGGCATGATCGCAAAAAATGACTTGAGTCTATAACGGAATGATTTAAAATTATGATTTCATGTCACCATTTGATGGCCCTCGTCAAGATGATCAAAATAAATATGAAGATGGACCAAAACGGAGTTCGAGTGCAAAAGATATGAAATTTTTGGAGATACCCGTGTTGACATCAGATTAGAAAATGGCATAAAACCTAATTAAGTAATTAAGATGGCCTTGGATGAAAAAACTTTCAACTACAAAGTTCTTTGTATCGTCGAAACGGACGATTTTGATATAAAAATCGTCCTCATCCAAGGTCATATGCAAAAGTTACGGGCAAAACAATGGGCTGCAGCTGTATTTGGCCGGATCATCCGAGCTGGGATCCAGACCATCCGGCTTTTGGCCAGATGAATGACCCGAACATCCGGGCTATCATCTGGATAAATCAACAGAACCATAAATTTTGGGCCCCGTGAAGCCAGATCATCCAGGCAAAACCCGGATAATCCGGACATGAGTCCAGACGTCCGGACAACTTTTTCTGCTACAAACTTTATAAAACGTCCCGAAACACCCTCAAGATAGCCTCAGATCAAAAAGTATTCAACAGTAAAGTTGTGCGTCTCGTCGAGGCGGTTGATTTTGATATAAAAATTATCTTAATCCAAAGTCGTATGCAAAAATTACAACCCAATTAGTGAGCTGATGTCAGAAAACTGAGCTAGGATAGATTATCCGGGCTTTGAGCCGGACATACGGGCCGGAGATCATGAATACTCCGTGTTTTATTAGGTTTTGATAATTTAGACAGTTAGAAAAGTCCTTTTCTTATAGGGAAAGTCCATCTGCCTCATATATAGACAAAAGGTGACGGCCGATTGAATAACAACATGTAATCGTAAACACATCTATAGCCTTTTCATCTACGTCTTGTCCTTCCCTCGTTCTTCGTCATTCTTCGTGTTGGAGAGCTACGAATCGCGAGGCATAGCCGCCGCACTCCCCGACGGGGTCCCTCCCGGGAGTGTAGGGTTTCGGGTCCTCAAAAGCTCTCGCCGGTCGACTTGCGAATCGCGCTTCTGGTGAGACTCCTTCGACCTGAGCTGCGGTGTATCACCCCCGGCGTCGAGGGTACACGTGACGTGTTTGTGTGCAAACACTCACCTTATAAAGAGGTGTAAGTCTCACTCAACTTCTGTGATGGGACTAAACTTTAGTCTCAGTTACTCCACTCATATGTGTGCATGAATGAGCCAAAAGAATTTTAGAATTTTAGTTGGACTTTAGGCCAAAGGCTTACTAGTAAAATTTCAACAAAATTTATGATAAAAAATTGACACAAAATATAATGAAACCAATAAATTAGAATAGAGGTAGTAAGTCGTAACGAGTTTGGGTACGGCCATCTACTTTAATCAGAGGCGTGAGGGTGACAAGACTATAGTAATGACACGTGGGTTGGACTCGTACCAACGAACTAATCAGCGTGGAAAAAAATGTCGGCAAAAAAGCTAAACGACCGATCACAGTTAGCACACCGTGCCAAAATATCTTCGCGATACGAGTCATATCTACTCCAGAATCTTCAAAACAATTCCGGGAAGAAAAATCTCGAGTAACTGGGAAATCGAAACAATAGATAATTTCCCTCGTGTACATTTTGTTACTGCAACGGACGGGATAGGGGAGCTCCGCGGATATTTGTTTAGTTTGGTTTGATCCAACGGTTGCGTAGTGCCGCCCACCACAATAGCATCCAACAGCTGGGATCTGCCTCGTGGAGGCGGGCCCAGCTCACACGAAACGTGTCCGGGATTCCTCCGTCCCGCCTTGAACCTTCCAGAATAAGCTATAGCATGACAAAACTTCAAAAAATCCGCCGAAACTTCTCGCAGTTTCGGAGCCCCACCCACCGTCCCCTTCCCCGTCCCCACACCACCCACATCCCTCCAGGCGCCGCTCTCCAGCCACCCGATCAGCCCGAGCAACCCCAATCCAAGGGTTGACGGCCGCCCACCCGCACGGCTCTCGACGCACCGCGCGCGGCCCGCCTGACTTGGCGTTCTCGGCACGAGTGGCGGGCGCGTCGCCCTCGGGTTTATAGCTTCCCCCTCCGCAACTGCCGCTGCCTCCCCTACTCCTCCGTTCCTTCGTCTCGTCGCGTTTCCGTCTCTAACTTCCTCGCTTCTCTCCACGCTACGCTATCCGGAACCTTCCGGAAGGTTGCTTTGACACCCCCCCTTCCGTGCCGTCCAACGGTGTCGCCGGGACAGATCTGCGCTGTCGGCGGCGGCGGCGTCATGGGCGAGCAGGCCGCGGCCGTTTCCTCCGGCGAGACGCCTGCCACGGCGGAGGTGGGGACAGGGCTGGGGCAGAGGTCGCTGCCCACGCCGTTCCTGAACAAGACGTATCAGCTGGTGGACGACCCGGCGGTCGACGATGTCATCTCGTGGAGCGAGGACGGGTCGGCGTTCATCGTGTGGCGCCCCGCCGAGTTCGCGCGCGACCTCCTCCCCAAGTACTTCAAGCACAATAACTTCTCCAGCTTCGTGCGCCAACTCAACACCTACGTAAGTGGGTGCTCGTCTTCCATTTCCGCGCAACTTGATCCGGACTAGTGGTACATTTTTGTTGGTGTCGCCGGAATGTCGAGGTGCTCATGGGCGTGGTGGTGCAGGGATTTAGGAAGATTGTGCCGGACAGGTGGGAGTTCGCCAACGACTGCTTCCGTCGAGGAGAAAAGCGGCTGCTTTGTGACATACATCGGCGAAAGGTGACGCCGACGGTGGCGGCCACCGCCGCGGTCACGGTAGCTGCGGCTGCCGCGATTCCGGTAGCGCTGCCGGTGGCGAAGCGACAGGGCTCGCCGGTGCTTTCCGGCGATGAGCAGGTGCTGTCGTCGAGCTCGTCCCCTGAGCCCCCCTTTCTAAATCAGTACGCGCCGTCCTACTCCGGCTCGGGCGGCGTTGCCTCCGGCGATCTCGGGGAAGAGAACGAGCGGCTGCGGCGGGAGAACTCGCGGCTGACGCGGGAACTCGGGCAGATGAAGAAGCTCTGCAATAACATTTTCGTCCTCATGTCCAAGTACACCGACGGCCAGCAGACCGACGCCGCCAACGCGACCTCCGCCGCCGCCGACGTCGGGAATTGCTCTGGTGAGTCGGCAGAGACCACGGCGCTCCCACCTCCGCCGGTGCTCGAGCTCTTGCCTTCCTGCCAAAATGCTCCCACGGCTGCCGATTTGGGCGCGGAGGACGAGGAGGAGAAGATGAGCGCTAGGCTCTTCGGCGTCTGCATCGGGCGGAAGCGAATGCGCCACGACGGCGAGGACCGGACGAGGCGAGGAGCGGCGGCGGAGGTGAAGCCTGAGCCGATGGACGCGCAGCAGCCCTCCGGAATGGACGGTCACACACCGGACGTGCAAGCCTGGCCCATTTACAGGCCCAGACCCGTGTACCAACCCCTCCGCGCCTCCGACGGGTCAAACTGCTACAGCGGGAGTGACGACCACAACGGGTCCAACTCCAGGTGAGCTCAGCTCAAAAAAAGAATAGGATAACTCCAGGTGAGCTGGGTTCAGGCTTAAGGGTCGTGTACTGGTACCGTACTTTTTTTTTTGAGGGGATTGGTACCGTACTTGAGTTAATTAAATGTAGTCTACTAATCCAGCACTAATTAATTAGTAGTAAGTCGCATGTACGTAGAGAGAAAGAAAGCAAGTTGTATGTGGAATTCCAGTTTCTCCGTAAGTTTCTCGGCAAGGCCCGAGTATTTTATCATCTCCAAAACCTAGTTTTTGTACATAAAACAAGCCAGAAAAATTAGAGCAGTGATGACAAGTTCGGTGATGTGATCTTCGTTCAAAACGAGTTTCTTTTTGAGTACTTGCAGCATCACCCCGAATAAGATATTTTAGCATGTCCACTCGAGCTAGAGAGTTCTAAACATAAAACATTACGGGTTAAAGCTTGTTTTTCAAAAAACTAACGCTTACACGTGTGGCATTTTACACATTGTTTACATGCCTTCATCATTACTTATTTTGTTACGTATGAACAGATGACATTAGCAGAAATCTTTTTGATTTTTGATTTAAAAATATTTTATCTTTTAATTAAAAAATTAAATTAAAAATTCATTTTCATCATTAAATCCGTCTCGATGAGATTTTTAAAATTATCATGTCGATATGTTTCGACGAAATTTTTTATTGTTCAAAAATTGCCATGATGTTTACATTGTAGTTATTATAATGCTTAAACTAAAGTGGTAATGTGGCAATCTTAGTTTGTAGAGCATGGCAACTTTAGTTTTTTGACGATGACAATTTCAGTACTTTGACCATAAATATTATTTTTATAAACCATGGCAATTTCAAGTGCATGTCTTATGGTAATTTTAGTTTATGGTTTATGACAAGTCTAGTTTCTTAATTCTCTATTTTATAATATGTTAAAATTATTTTTAAATATAGAAAAAAATAGCTGAAAAATATTATGACAATTTAGAGTAAATATCATGGTAATTTATACGCAACAGACATGATAACTTTTAACCTTCAAAAAAATTCGTCAAAATATATTAATATGAGATCTAGTTTCGAAGATCTCGTCGCGAGGGATTTAATAATGAAAATGGAAAAAATAAAACATTTTAAAAACTAAAAATTAAAAAAGATTCTCGCATGCATGTATGCGGTGACGTAGCGCAGTCTATATGTTATAGGGCGTGTGGATGAGTTTGGCTTCTACCACATGTATGGGCATTAGCATTTGTCCTTTTTTTTCTATGTTGGAGCGTGCCCAGCAGACTCCTTAAAATTCAACTATCTAAACAGTCTTGGCTCCATCAAATTCACACCGTATACAGTGGAGAAATGTGATTGTCTAGACTACTCCAACACTTGGGCCATACACAACAACCCATCTCATGGCACATTTTTTTTTGTCAGACTCTCCCTTTCCACTTAGTTTTCCATCATAGCAGTACATTTCTCGCTAGAGTCTTCTTTTTTAAAATTAGATGGCTCTCACCTCACCTTTATCATGGGTTTATAGTGGCAAAGAAATACTATAGGCAGAAAGCAGGAAATGCCATGAACATGTTACAATAAGCGTCAAAGTTTCTCTTCCATATTCGACCTTTTCATTAACCACTATGATTCGCTTGCATGCTTAAGTCTTGAAAAATAAATGGGAAAGCCAAATTAAAGTACTTTAAAAGAGAAGCAAATCATATGATGCAAGAGTTAGATGTATTTCATTTTAATTATAAGAAACATCATATTGAGTCGATGAACCCCTTTCTTCGACGTAAACTCATAAATAATAAAAGAGAGCCATGATGACTTTTCTTCAATGGCAATCAATTAGTTTTTTTGCAAAATAATCAATTAGTTGAAAGAAAGCTTAAGCAATACCACTCACAACTGACTAAAATGAAACATAAGCTCTAAAAGGTGCAAAATCTTATATAGAAAGAAAAGAAAAAATATTTTAGAAAAATAGACCCTCTTAAATAACATCTCGCGAAAAAACACTATTGAATAGCATGTCCAACCGTGCATAGGACCTCGGAAGCCACCACCCGTCGCACCGCGACGCGTGGTTGTCGTCTCAATCACGAGGAACTGTCGAGAAGCTTGTGCATGGCTGGATGGAGTGGATCCAGATGCTAGATGTGAGGAGCATCTCCGCCCACGTGCTGACCCAGGGCCACTACCACCACCTACTGCTCCGAGGTGTCACGGTCGCCGCCATCGCTACCCGCTGCTTCGTGATGCCACTATGGCTGCCACCACCACGACGAATGTCTGAGAAGTTATTCTTCATTTTATTATTGCTTGCCAATTATTTTCAATTCAACAACGTCATACTCAAATTTCATATTCTATGGGAAATCATTTAATTTGAAGAAACACAAACTGGTCTAATCGGCAACAATTCTATTACCGCCATACATCAAATTTCATATTTGTCGGCCACCGCCTTCGTGGAAGCTCCTGTGACACATCAACAAAAGAAGGACTCGGTGTGGAGGAGCCGAATCGAGTGGGTGATGCAGGTCAGACGACTTTAAATCGTCGCCTCCTCCTTCCCTCCCGGTCCTCGAGTTGCCACGGTGTAGACACACATCACTGTCGAAGGTCGGGGTCCCTCGTCATCGCATCCGTCACAAGGAATGGCCAAGAAGCTCGGGCACGGCTGAATGGATCGGATCTAGATACCAGCTATGAGGAGCATCTCCATTCATGCGCTGACCTAGGGCCGCCGCCTCCACCTACCGCCCCGAGATGTTGCCGCCACCGTCGCCACCCACTGCTTCACAATGCCTCTATGGCCATCACCATCGCGAGGACTGTCCGACAAGCCATTCTTAAATTTTATAGTTGCTCGCCAAATTATTTTTAGTTTAACAACCGTCATATTCAAATTTCATATTCTATGGCGAAATTTCAATAATCAAAAAGAGGCCCAATCAACAACAATTCTATTACCATCATACATCAAGTTTCATATTCGCCGACCGCCACTTCCATGGAGGCTCCTGCAACACATCAACAACAGAAGGATCGAGTGCGTGTGGGGGGGTGAATCAAGCGGGTGCTGTAGGGCAGATGGCTTTAAATCGCCGGGGAAGAGCATGACACCACAACTTCTCCACCTTGACCACCCTGCCTGATCCTCGAGTTGCCGCAGAGCGGGCACACAACACTATTGGGGGTCGGGGTCGCTCACCATGGCGAAAGAAGTGTGACATCCAGAGGTACGTGCACATCATGGTGTGCATCCAACTTGATATAGAAACCCTAGTCAAGGGAAGAGGATGAGTCGAGCAGCGGAGGCGCAACCTCATTTTGTAGGATGATCCCTATGCAGCGGATGCAGATGCTGGATGTGAGGAGCATCTCTACCCACGGGCTGGCCCAGGGTCATTGTAACGCCCTCGATGCGGCTATATCTCCCACGTGTCGAAGCACGAGTTAGAGGCATAACCGCATTGAAAGCAATGTCGCAAGTGAGGTAATCTTCACACAACCCATGTAATAGATAAGGGAAAGAGATACATAGTTGGCTTACAATCGCCACTTCACACAATTACATGAATAAAACATTACATCAACCAGATACAAACAAGGTCCGACTACGGAACCAAAATAAAAAAAGACTACCTCAATGCTACACAGATCCCCGATCGTCCCGACTGGGCTCCACTACTGATCGACTAGAACGAAACAACACAAAGGACAAGATCTTCATAGAGCTCCTCTTTGAGCTTGGTTGCATCATCTCCACGGTTCAACGGCACCTGCAAGCTGGTTTTGGAAGTATCTGTGAGTCACGGGGACTCAGCAATCTCACACCCTCGCGATCAAGACTATTTAAGCTTATAGGTAGGGTAAAAGGTATGAGGTGGAGCTGCAGCAAGCGACTAGCATATATGGTGGCTAAACTTACGCAAAAGAGAGCGAGAAGAGAAGGTAAAGCACGTTCGAGAAACTATGATCAAGAAGTGATCCTAGAACAACCTACGTCAAGCATAACTCCAACACCGTGTTCACATCCCGGACTCCGCCGAGAAGAGACCATCACGGTAACACACGCGGTTGATGTATTTTAATTAAGATCAACTTCAGGTTTTCTACAACCGGACATTAACAAATTCCCATCTGCCCATAACCGCGGGCACGACTTTCGAAAGTTCAAATCCCTATAGGGGTGTCCCAACTTAGCCCATCACAAGCTCTCATGGTCAGCGAAGGATATTCCTTCTCCCAAGACATTCCGATCAGACTCGGCATCCAGGTTACAAGACATTTCGACAATGCTAAAACAAGACCAGCAAAGCCACCCGAATGTGCTGACAAATCCCGATAGGAGCTGCACATATCTCTTTCTCAGGGCACACCGGATTGTCCAAGGTTCCGGTAGGCCAGCCCAGAGTTGCCCCTGGTGGCCACCAGCAGCTGACAGGTTGGACCAACACTCAGAGGAGCACTGGCCCGGGGGTTTAAATAAAGATGACCCTTGAGTCTGCAGAACCCAAGGGAAAGAAAAAGGCTAGGTGGCGAATGGTAAAACCAATGTTGGGCCTTGCTGAAAGAGTTTTATTCAAGGCGAACTGTCAAGGGGTTCCCATTATAACCCAACCGCGTAAGGAACGCAAAATCCGGAAACATAACACCGATATGACGGAAACTAGGGCGGCAAGAGTGGAACAAAACACCAGGCATAAGGTCGAGCCTTCCACCCTTTACCAAGTATATAAATGCATTGATTAGATAATAGATATTGTGATATCCCTACAAAATATCCATGTTCCAAACATGGAACAAGCTCCAATCTTCACCTGCAACTAACAACGCTATAACAACATAGTAAACAACGCTATAACAACATAGTAAACAACATAGTAAACCAACATAGTCGAACGGATCCTCACAACACGACGTTATCAAAACCAACCCGAAGAAGCACACCGGAAAGAAGCAAACAACATAGTAAACAACCACCACATAAAACATGGCATGAT